CCCGCTGTCAGCGCTAACGTAGCTTAAACGCGGTCATCACGATTACAATTTTTAACGCTCTCGACCCATCTTGAGCGCAGAATTAACAAAATTAGGACAAACTGCCAAAATGGGTTGACAAGAGACATTTCAGGGATTTTGACTCCAGATGGGTTAATTGTTAATCGCTTTAGTTGTGATGACGGCGCATTAACGCTGACAGCGCTAAAAATAATAATAATAATAAAGTCACCAATTTGGGATTTCTTAGGTTTACGTCTTTTATTTGGTTTAAAGCCAAAGGATGTAACCAAAGCGGTGTGCCGCTCGTGCAGATGTATGGTGTGAGCAAAGTACTCAAACACTACTAACTTGCATGAGCATGCACGTGCTATGCTAGGCTATCACCAGCTTCTACAGCTCCATCAACAAGCACTTGGGCGCACGCTGAGGTGGGGGCATTTGCTCGCAGATGAAAGAGGGTGCTGTTAAAACAGCGCTATTATTTTTTTTTCTGTTGACTGCTTTTATTAGCGCCATCATTATTAGCAAACTCACTCATGGGCAATCAGATAAATAAATCCCCCTTGTAAAAAGTAGTCGTTATATTCGTCCAATCGTCCAACCCTAATAATTAGAAAGAAGGCCATGAAAACTCAAAAAGCTAAAACACAGCTAGCTATCACTGAAAGCAGTCACGCCTCTATAGGAAAAAATAAACAGGTGAGCAATAAGAAGAACACCATGGAGTTATTCTTTGCCTGCTGCAAAATTCAACCTTAACTTTTAGAGGGAGCCTCAAGTGGACATTAGAGGAACTGCAGATTTTTTTCTTAACTTGAGGGTTTGTTGACAGTATAAGAGACATCGAACATTCAACGAATCCTGAGCTGAAAGCAAGTCTCCAGCTGCAAAGATGGGATGGAAGAACAACTCCCAGGTGGAAAACCCCTGCCACTGAAATGAAAGTTAATTTAGATAATGCCTCACATAGATCATTTTGGCGTGGGACCCACCTGACATGCTGGAAGAGCATATGAGGTTGCATGAGGCAAATATGAGGCTAATTAGGCAGATAAGATCAGCTGCGATCAACACATCTTTCTTTTTAATCGAGTTTCAGGATTTCAGCTACAACTTTAATTCCTTTATTGGCTCTGCTGAGTCTGCTCACAGTGCTGCAGCGGTCCTTTGCCTTACACGACCTTATAATAAGATGACTCCAATGCATTTGCAGCATGTTAAAGTGAGGGGAAAACAATACTGGATCAGCAGATTCCCAAAGATAGGGCACTAAAAGGACAATCGGCGGAGCAAAAACAGCCTGCGTTATTAACTCCAGAGGCAGAAACTCTGGTACAAATTACCACATTCCAACAAATCCTGACACGCTGCCGCAAAACTAATTTGGATGCAGAAATCAGTCTTACTAATTAAAACGATAATCACGCGTCACCTTTTCAAACAAAGTTAAAACGCCTGCAAACTAAAGAGAACACAATTAACACGCGGCTGTAATAGAGAGGCGTCGCAGAGCTCATTAGGACAAACTCGGAAAAGTACGGAAGCGGCAGAGAGGCCTGATTAAAAACACTCCTACAGTTTAATGCAAGTAAGTCCAATTAATCTCTCACTTCAAGTTTTTCACCTGATGGGAGGACAGGAGATAAACACCGCCTCAGGTATGAGACGCTGGCAACTCATTTACAGTAATATTAAGATGTGCACTTCCACCGCTGCGGCTCGCTAGCATCGATCCGTCTTCGCTATGAAACGGGGACCCGGCTCTTATGAGATCAATAGTCTGATTTGCAGACGGGGAGGTAGAGGCCATTAGCAGGCAGATAAATAAAAGACTAGGAGTCAAGAAATGTTCAGAAACAACTCTGTCTGTCCCTCATCGATGCACTGATAAACCTCAGCTCTGCCCGCCCCCGCACACACACACACACACACACACACACAGTACTGAGTCATACAGGACGTGGGTGGACAGTCTCGTCCCCACAGGTACATTGAGATCTCTTTCTGTAACAAGTCCTGGTTTTACATTTAGAGATGAGGATGTTTCTCTGAAGAGGTTCGTATGGATTAACGAGCTTCTTGATGAAACTCCTTTGTGTTTGGTTTCAGCTGATTTTCATCCGCTCATCCTGTCTGAATTCTTGTTTTATGAAGATGTTCACTGATTGGTTTTACGGGCTCTTCACTCTCATTCATCCTACAAATGTTTGCTATCAGGTTGGATGACACGCTTTCTTCTAGTGAGCACTTTGTTAAATGCTCCTGATTATAATTATGGTGACACTTTGACTCTAATCTCTGCATATCACAATTCGTGTTATCCTTCTCATTATCCAGCACGAATATTACCACTGTATGTCATGATCTGCTACTTGGCCTCTAACTAAGCCTAAAGGAGACAACAGCACCAGTAGATTTTATTTACTAATCCATAATGTATGAACCTTATGATTTTGGCTCTTCTCAGTGGCTCCTCAAATCCTAACTCTTAAGTTTAACTAGACCATTACTTGTATGACCTTTATTGTGTAACTGCTGAGCCAGACTTTCTATTATCCTCCATGTTTTCTGGTGTTTATGTTTCATATCTTTGCAGCTCTGTAACTGTGTGCTTCTTTGGACCTGTCTCTGTTGTAAAGGATTTTACTGCCAAGGGGCTTCCTGGTTAAATAAAGGCAAAATAAAGTTTTAGTCTGGCTCTCTGCACGAGATTTCCTGGCCCACACGTTTGCAGTGCATCCAGGTGACATTTCAACACACTTAAGTCACTCAGCCTGTCACATAAACACTGCGAACCCTCATGTGACTCAGCAGCGGTGTCACGTCTGACCTTCTTTTGTGCACTGAAGATCCTCCGGAGGGTGTCCGGGTTCTTCTCTGCAGGTTTGCCCTGAGGCGGCCTCCTCAGACCGCTGGCCACCACCCTGAGGCCGTCCTCTGAGAAGTCCAGGACATCTGCAGGGAAACATTTTTTTTTTTTAAGTAATTAAATTTGAGATTATGTCACATCTATTTAACATTTTAAAGCCCTTCTCCTGGCCAAACTAATTATTTTTAACAGCACACATAGAAAGAAGCAATATGCTCATGAGCTGCCTGAATCTGAAAGCACACGCTTCTTCATCATGTTTAAATCCAGGAGTTTTTCCACATGAGAGAGGAAAAAAAAACAAAACATGTTATTAGAAACAAGGTCAAATGAAACTGTGTGTTTGTGAGCTTTAGCTCATTTCCAGCAGTCCTAACAGTGAGCGCCTGCTGGATAGTGAAACAGGATTAGCTGATTGTGTTTGTTGTTAGAGTGTGACCGTTTGTGCGTGTGTCCGTGTGTTCAGTCTATGCTGGCGTGTTGGCTTTCTCTAATGTTTATCCATACACAAAACAACAAGAAAAGCACACACAGCTCCAGTTTTATTCCACCCGATCGTGCCATTTTTACTTTATTCAGCTTTTTTCGTCTTGTCGTTTTGTAAATATATTCTATTGAGCTGTTATATTCTTCTGCATTTAAGATGAGTAATGTGAATGCTCCTCAAACCACCTGCGCTCATAGAAGGAAATACTGTAATAAAAAGGAAAATCCAGATTCAGAGACTCAGAGTTTGATGTAATAAAAGGTGTTTGCTTTAGTGTGCAAGAGACACGAAAAAGAAAAAACCCTACGAGCTGAACGAGGAGCAGGGCAAAATGCGTTGGTGTATTTTGTGACGCTAACCCACTAAAATAAACTGTTCAAACCTATTAAAATCTTTCCATTTCCCTTTTTAAACAAGCTGTGCTTAATGTTTTGGCTGCTGTTACACAGTAACTTCCTTACTTTTGGAATAAATGAAGTGTATCTCATCTTATTCCATTTCATATGGAATTACAGCACACTGTCGTAGCTACAGACTCTATGATGTGACCTTAAAATAATGACAAAATAAAAATCAGTGTTCACTGGAGGACCGCTAAGAATCTCACTCTCTCTTTAAAAGGCTGTTCCAGAAACAGCGCGACTGGCAAACTGGTGTCAGAGGGTTTTCCCAGTCAGACTCAGAGAGGCATGTGTCAACAGGCTCAGGGCAGGCGTGCAACAACCCCGTTTTATCATCGCTTCACATATAAGGCGACGTTCAACTAAACTTGAACATCGTTTCAACTTTGCAAAACAAATAAATGTTATTCGACCAATTTATTCGCCAGAGTTTCATTTCAGTCTTCACTGCTGTCGCTGCAGTCCATTCCCCTCTCCCTGCTCTCTGAGCACACACCTCACACACAGTGTGAAGCAAACGGAGGCGCCAGACATGAAATAACACAACAGGACCTTCCCAACAAGTGTTACACTGAAGAGATCGAGTGAGCGAGTCGAGCCGACGCTTTTCAGTCGTGTTGGCTTACGTTACCACAGATTATACTTAAATCAGAAATTTTAAATATGAAAAGACAAGAAGCACTCGGAGAATACTTTTTAAGTAGCTCTATAAATCATTATCATCACTTTGACCTGCAGATCAATGTGTTGACCTTGAAGGAGAGGTCAAACTGAAGGAGAGGTCCATAATCAAGACACCTGATCCAGGTCGGCGAGCTGGGATCAGAATGTTATTTGATACTCAGCTCAGTCCTTCCTTAATTAATGGGATGATATGCACAGGATTAAAACAACAAGCCTGCTCATGTTACTGCAACACTTTGCACACGGCTCTTTGGCTGATTTTGTAAAAAGGTGGTTTCACGAGATATCCTCATCACTACATCGGCGTTATCAGTCAGGCAGTGTTGGTGTTTTAACCTGTTCGTATCCTGCTCTCCTGCTTCTCAGAGTTCTTCTTGCTCTCCTTGACTGCCGGCCTTTCCTGGACCTCCAGCATCTCCTGGACCTCCAGCCTTTCAAACGGATCTGGCGGGTCATCAGCTGGCATTTCCTCTATGGTGACCACCGGGGTCACTGTGGTGATGGCGGCCTTCTTTTTGGCCCTCCTCCTCTCCTTAGCTCTGCCGTCGTCGTCTTCAGCGCCGTCGCTGTCGCTCATGTCGTCGAAACCGAAGTATTTGATTTTGTAACTGGACCGGCCATCCGCGCTGTCGCTACTGTTCTCCTCCTGCTGGGCCTCCGAGTCCTCAAAGCCAAACAGGTCCAGCTTACTGTCCTTCTTCGACTTGGTCTGGGTCTGCCTGAACCTGCGGAGAGGACATCCAGAGGAACGGCGTTAATATTCTGCTGAGACGACTTAATTAAAACTGAATGTTAATGTGTAAAAGTATACTTGTGGAGAGGATTTTTCATTTCAGGCTTCAGTCTAACGTGTTTCATGATTAGCACGAACATGAAATGGCAAACCACCATATTCTAATTAACACTTTCCCTCATAAAATGTATCATTTTCAGCCCAGGTAATGAAAGCAAAATCAATATCAATTTGATTTCTTGCAGCATTTTAAAAGAAAAAACCCTGCGATTCAGATGGATGGACTTTTTTCTGTGACCAAGGTCATTTAATTCAAACGAAAAAAATAAATAAAATCACCGAGCGCTCGTTCTTCTCGGCAAAACAAAGGGCATTACGCTAACTGCCAAAATATTACAGTGGAGTGGAAGTAAATGAAGTCTCAGCAACTGAAATGAGACCAAAGAGGCCCACGGCCTCACGCTGAGACGGAGATACGGTAAAGATGTAAAACGTGTGAAATGAAAGGCATCATAGATGGTTTTCACTGAATAATATGTCCCCGTGCCTGTGAGAAGTCACACAGCATAAACAACTACCTACATGCATTTTTATGTATTTGCTTTATGTTTTTCTCCTCTCAAACGTCTCAAACCTGATATTAAATGGCTTTTTGCTTGTTATAATAAACTACTTTGCAACAGTCTGATTTAAATCTGTATTTTCTCTCCAAGTCTGTTACAAATATTTTATTAAGCAGTTTGATATAAAATATTAAAACTCAAAATATGCTTTTGGTGGCTGCAATTTCAAATGAAGTACTCTGGGTGCTTCGTGCTGGCATGTTCAGCATCCAGGTTCTGTTTATGGACCTACTGAATCACTTTCTACAGGTCTGCTGTGGATGTGGACTCAAGAGAATGATCATTAAGCTTTGTGTCCATCACCAGATGTCGCACAACTCTGTTACTTAAAAAAGAAAAAGAGAGAGAGCGAGTTGTTTGTCTGAGGGATGAGGTCGATCTGTTAGATGGAAAATAAGTCTACATATGGGAAAAACTGGGATAATTCAGTCTTCCTGTAGTTCTTGTGGGATATCAGCAGGTGTAGGCAGTTACACATCAAACTGTCCACACTGTGGAACACCCTGACACACGAGGACCGCCGGCCCCGTTAACCAACCTTGTATTCTGTTGTTCCGACTTCTTCCGCTGCCACCCGGCCTCTCCCAGCTGCGTCGTGCTGCCTGAACCGGCGCTACCGCTACCACAAGAGGGTGCTGCATCAGTCCCAAACTCCTCCACCACTCGGTCCTGGATGGTGACGTTACACATAGATATGGAGGATGGGTGCAACACTGTGTAGTCCCTCGTCCTGCCCCGGCTCCCTCTGCCACCTGTCGTTTTGTTATTGCTGTCAGATGCGGATTTGGGAAGATCTGAGCCAAAAACAGTGGCTGCGAAGCTGCTGGAGTCCGAGGCTTTGCCCTGTTTGTTGGGCCTCCTGTATGTCCGACAGTTCGAGTTCCTTTCAAGTGACGAGGAGGTCGACATCTGGGAGTAATCCGACGTCTCAGTGAGGTCAGGGTTGCCCTGTAGGTCGTCGCTGTCGCTGAGGAGCAGCTGTGGAGGAGAGGGGGTCTTCTCGTGCCGGGTTTGCACCGGGTCACAGCCGCCTGCCGTCGTGACGCCCGCCGAAGCCCATGACAGAGTAGGGGCAGGGTTGCGGGGTTCCTGTGTGGGAGAAGGTGGCCGGAGGCCCATTATAACATCCCACGAGTCATAGGTGGATTCTGCCTTAGAGCCAGTCTTCAGGGTGGTGGTCTGGGCCAGGGGCTTCTTGTCGCTCTCAGAAACATTTTGGTACCACGTGTAGCTGTGCTGGTTCTCTGACGACGAGGACAACAAGCTCTGCTTGGACTTTCCTGAGAATGAAAACAGAGTCAGAGTCAGTGCATTTTTATGCTGGTCCAGTTTTCACAAGCAAATTTGTATTAAAGATCAAATGGACTAAACTTTAATGTTTGAAAGAGGAAAAGGTGCTGCACAAATAACTAGAACAACAATGAAAATACAGACATAAAACAAAAAAACATCTTTGCTGACTGAAATAACAGATAAAAACTAGACTTATAAAAATAATGAAAACAAGATAAATATACACATAAAATGTCAGTCTTTATATGCCTGAAGGGGGAAAAAGACCTTCAAACAGAACCTTGTCTGAAGTAGGGCTGCCACGATTACTTTGAAAAAATTTGAAAAAAGAAAGCCCCCCGACCGCACACACACTCTATATGCCCTACATTCACTTTACCGCTGAACTTCACAGACACCTCGGCACAATGATGATGCACCCAAAGATTACACCATTTCAAAAAACACCGTTATGCAATAAAAGCAGGTCACACACACACACACACACACACACACACACACACACACACACACACACACACACCTGGAACAGCAGCCAGGTCTCACAGCAAACAGTCATTTGCCAGCAGCTGTAATTCTTCAAGAGAATCAAAATGGGTCTGGAGCCACTTCCAGGACAAGTCATGCTGTTTGGTTATTAGCACCCCCGGTTATTTGTGTCACCTCTGCCGTGGCACATAACTCACAATGCTTCACTTTCCCCTCTGAGCAAACAGGAAATTGCTTCACGCTGTAGCGTCACATAATATCAGCTTCTGTGGTTTTTGATTCAAGGTTGATTGGTAGCAAATGTGGAGTGGAGGCAATTTCAGTTACTTCAGCTTATGATTCAGACTTTATTTGACAAATAAAAATAAAGGGAGACGATCAAACACACAGAACGAGCGAGGCCCCCAGAAGACTGCTAAAGGTCCTTAAAGGCCCCACACTCAAACGCCACCAAGCTGTGTACGTCTGTGGACACAAGTCTTTTTCTGGTTAAGATCCAAATGCTGTTTGTTAGTTTTTTCCCCAAAGCGTTTAATCTGATATCAACTGAGTGTAAAACGTATAAAGTGCTATGATTCCTCCATGACTTCAACTATTTTACTGTCCTTTCAAAGCGTGACGTGAACCGAGAGCTGCAGATGAGTCATTTAGTCTTTTCTCCTCAGCCCTCCAACGATTTCTTCTAACTTTATCAAAACAAGTCCACGCGAACGACGCTGTGCAGCTCTGAGGGTTTCCGTGGCTACAACTCAGGTACAGACACAGGTTAGCTATTAGTGTCTGCCAGTTCTACAAAAAACACTCAAGTTATTCTGACTAAATTAACCTAACACGTAAACCAATTATCGGACACCTTCATGACGGCCAACCACAAGCAGGGTTGGAAGCAGGCCTTTCTGAGCGCCCTCCAATCCCCTTCTTTTAAACGTGCACATGTAAAACGTCAAGTCTTAACTAAAGGATCCCAGATAAGCTCTGAGTTTGGCGTTTTTGGAAACCAAAGGGCTCGGGTTTGTTTTTCCAGTCATGTGCTGTTTTTACTGCTGACGCGGTTGCAAAATGTTCTGGTGATTAACACACTTTCAGTTCTTTGGCAGATGGCAGAGCGAGGAGCAGCCTGTACACACACACACACACACACACACACACACACACACACACACACACACACACACACACTGTGTTCTGTAGCCTACGAGAAACCCAAAATGTTGCTCTGAAGCCGTTTGATGATGGAAGCTGATCGCCTTGCATTCCTTTAAAGCCAGGCAGATAAAAATAAGAGTCTGGAGAGGTGACACCTCGGGAAGGTGCAAAGCCGGCAGTTTGCGTACTTTGGCTTTGCGAGGCAGATGGGGCTTGATGTCAGTATGTGTTCCAGCCTGTGTGGGTGTGCGACTGTCTAAAGGGTTTTGCAGAGCTGTGTATTAAAAAAAACAAACTAAGCAGCACAGAGGTACTCCGTGTTTAATCTTTAACCAGGTAAGAACCACCAAGTCAGAAGGACTCTGGGCTCCAACCTGCACGAGCCTCCGAATGTTTGTCTTGAACTAAAAGTTTAAAGATTCCTTCACTAAAGGAAGAAGATTCCTACTCTGTGGCATTTGTTTTTGCTGCAGAGCTCTCTGTTACCCTCAATATCGTTTAATAACCCGTGTTCATTAACTGTGGAGCCAGCCATTTCCCCCATCAACGAAGACTTGGTTTATCACCAGTTGGCTTCATTAGTTTCTCCTTTTTTTTCCTTTTCCTTTTTCTTTTTTAAATCAGCATTAGTTCAGGACAGAGTTTAGTGTTTGGTTTAGGCTCTCGTCTTTGGCAATAACTTGTCTTCATTTTATTAAAATGCCTTCAAATTAGGGCTGCCACGATTTGTCGACTAGTCACGATTACGTCGACTATCAGAATCGTCGACGACTGATTTAATAGTCGACGCGTCGTTTGAAGCTTTGTAAGATCGCAAAAGACGCAGGAATAAGTAGCAGGATTTAAGAGTGTAATAACGGACTGAAACAGAAGATGGCAGCACTGCATGTACAAGGATGCCAGCTGCCGTTAAACCCCGAGAAGAAGAAGCAGCTGTGTCCCAGAATTCATAGCGCAGCCCAGCTCAGTTTCCAACAATGGCGGCAGCTAGTTAGTTTTAATATTACTCTTATTATTCTTTCTGGGTCACAAAATAAACGTTTAACATATTTTCAGGCGAGAATGTAGCTGTGTAAACCTCAAATATCTGCTCAGTTTATCAGGACACCACATATTTTCAAAAGCGCTCCGACGTTTTCGGAGACGTCTGTTACCCACTAGCTCGATAGCTAGCCGGGGGCTAGGTCACTAGCGCCGTGAGAACACCGGACTCCCGGCAAATTGTTTTCAAACCCACCGCCGTCTTTCGCGACTCAGGTTAAATATATATGAGTCACTTAGATAAATTAAAAATGTTGTTGTTTGGCTTTTTTTTTTTAGTATTTTATTTGTTCCTGAGTAAATCGGTTTGGCTGAGATTAAAGTTATAGTTTTTACACAGCTGAATAAACGTCAAGCAGACAGCTGATTATCAGAAGTGTGAGATGCTGGAGAATATACTCCGGTGTCCTGTTATATTTTAGATAGCAAGGAGTTTATTAAACTTCACCGAAACAATCTGCAAATTTCATTAAAATTGTAATAAACTATCATCTTGTCTTTATTTTTAGTTAGCACCTTAAACACTTAAAGCTGTAAGCTAATGATAGTTATATAAGAGCAGATGCTGCTGGTGCAATAAGCTGTGTTTACGTCCAATGATGATGATCTGATTAGTCGACTAATCGCAAAAATAATCGGTGACTAGTCGACTATCAAAATAATCGTTTGTGGCAGCCCTACTTCAAATGCAGCAACTTTGTGAGCTCCAGTAAGTTGGATTCTTTCTACAGCAGTGCAACGTCACAGAAAGTGACTCTGAACTCTGAGAGCACAACACGTCTGTGACGGGCAGATAAGAGTGAATGTAATCATTAAGATTCTTCTTAGATTCATTGTATCTCAACTTGCCCAGCAGGACAAGTCCTTAAGAAAAAAAAATTTTGCTGCAGATAATTTTTTTTTTCCTCCAAACGGTTTTAAACGATGACGCAGCAGCGCTAAACGAACAGGTGTAGCTTCTCAGAACGCCAAATATGACAAACGAAGCAAATTTTCTCATTAAAGTTCAAAATCAAGCTGCATCTTAAAACAAAAGAAAGAAAGAAAGAAAGACTTCACTCTGACTCACCCTCACACTGCAGTAGTACAGTACAGTAGTTTGCATTTGCTCAGCTGATTATTAACCACCTGCTTTCGAATTGCTCAGTTTACCGGACAATCCGAGTCCCTTCAGCTTCAGAGCGCCCTTTCAAAACAGCACAACTGCACCAACACCACCACCTTCTTCCCCCGACTCCGACTCTCTGTAAATGTTGACACAAGAAGCCCAATTTCTGATCGTCTGTGGCAACAGAAGAATCGAGCTCAGCTGAGTGATCCCGCTAAAACATTTGCTCCTGCAAATTGAATCCTGAACTGTCTTCTACTCTGTTCACATCAGTGACGAGTCTTTGATGGTTTCTATTAGGGGTGGGTTTTTATAATCGGTTTATCGATTAAAATCGATTCTCGACCTTGTGAATCGGAATCAAATCGATTCTAGAAATCAGTGACGATACCCAGCCCTAGTTTCTATCGTTGCCTGTCACGTCACCACATCGCAGAAAGCACTTCCTCATCATTAAGTGCGAACGCTATGGGGAGAAATTTGACTCAAAAGCTTCGCTAATGCTACGGTATGATCCACAAGCGTACGCAAAGATTTACAAATATGTGTAGTGATTTGTGTGCAACGTTTGAGGACTCGTAAACGTCTGTGGCTTACGATGCAATTTAACTGCGCGTAAAACCGCTTTAACGTGCCTCAATGCGAACCTGAATAAATACTGATCACTTAAACACAATTTCTGAAGTTCAGCTTCACTAATCAGATTATTTCCTCTTTCTAAGACCTTTCTTTGAACGCAAATGTCTAAAACTAAACGTAGCATCCCCGTCACTCACAAAAGCTTAACTGCGTGTGGACGCATCGCCTGACACGCACAGATCACGTCACATGTCCTCGTGGGGTTTGGACACAAATTTCATGCTGCCAGCTTTGCACAGATCCACAAATGTAAGCTGCTGATTTATTGGTTTTCTTTATTTGTTTGTTTGTTCAAAGAAAGCGGGCAGTCCTAAATAAACAGAACAGCCTGTGATCCTCGACTAGAAACAGAGTTAACAATTACAGAAACTACTCATTAGCCTGTGACAGTTAATACATGGCTTAAATAAGCTGCTGCATCCTGAAATGTTCAGGATTAGACATTAAGCTAACAATAATGTAAGCCTGCTGTTATTACAGAACAGTAAGATTAGCATCAAAGTGCTATTTCCATTGCCTGGATTACATCTATATTCAAACGGTACAGAGATTAGCTGCATATACTCACTGCGGAGCATGATCCACAGTAATGTACAACCATTACGCTCCCTCTATCTGGAGCTGTGCACTGACCCAGCAGAAGAACAACCAGCACGTAGCAGCAGCTTATTTAAATAATATTTTAACCTTTATAGCCGGGGTAGGCAACTCCAGGCCTCGAGGGCCGGTGTCCTGCAGGTTTTGGATCTCACGCTGGGTCAGCACACCTGACTCAGATGATTAGTTCGTTACCAGGCCTCTGAAGAACGTCAATACATGTTGAGGAGGTCATTTAGCCATTTAAATCAGCTGTGTTTGATCAAGGACACATCTAAACCCTGCAGGACACCAACTCGAGGCCTGGAGTGGCCTATCCCTGCTTTATAGGCTCCTGCAGAGGTCCCAGTTTTACACTGGGACGTCAACAAAGCCTACATTCGTGCATCTGTGCACCACGAGGACATGTGAGGTGATCTGTGCGTATCGGGCGATTCGTGCACTCGTATTAGGTTTAATAAGTGAGCGAGATGGATGTACATGAGGTTTTAGACAGTTGTTTCCACAGAAAGCTTTTTGTAAGAGAAAAATCTGTTTGGTGAAACTGAACTTAATATATGGTGTTTAAATGACCAGTAATTATTCAGGTTTGCATGTACACATATGTAAACCAGTCCTGCATGTGGTCAGATTGTTTTGTATTTTGCATTGAAGAAGGTAATCATCTGAGAGTCGCCCAATGCTGCTGAGGATCAGACGACATGGACATAAAAAAGGAGAGCATTCGGGGAAGAGCAGGAAAACAAATCACAGAACTTCCTACAATTTCTTGAAATGTTTCAGTAACTCGAATCAGCTATGAGTTGTATGCTGGCGGCGAATATCTGTGGGTATATGAGGCAAAACCTCACTTCAGCGCACTCTTATGGGCCAAAACAGGGAACAGAGCAACGGCAGAGTCCGTGGGAAAAACTTTGAAGATCAAAAATGCAGCCTGAAAAGCAGATGGTGGCTGCAGTGGACGCTTTTCGTCATTTTTAAACACTCTTCTTCACTTTGCTCTTCTTCACAGCTGACTGATGGTAGCTCACAGACCTGTGTAGCACAACCTCAATCGACAACAGCTTTCTCTGCAGGTAGACGGACCATCCACAGACCGCCAGTGGACTGCGAAGACGCTAACCCCACTCAACCACAATTCTACTCCAGAGGGTGAAGAGCTCAGAGTAGAGCTGCTGCTCTTCCATGAGGCTGATAAAGCAGTTCGGGAATCCAACAGGACGCCTCCTGGATGAGGTGTTTCGTGACATCTTTGCTGAAGAAGACTTGAGAGAGGTGTGTGCCTCTGCTCATATTAAATCCTTGTTAAATCCAACCACACCAATGTTATGTAGGTCCCATAAGACATTATTTTGTTTGAAAGGAGGAAAGTGATGAGGGTTAGACATCTGCCTTCAAGAACAGGAAAGTAAACAGCCTGCAACTAACCTTGCTGGAGTCTGTTTAAAAACCACAATACCCCTCATCTCACCACTGCAAACACAACGGTGGCACGTTCAGCGTACCTGTGGTGTAATAAAGCCAGCAAAATGTGCTTGTTACTCACAATCTTTACAGCCCTTTGTAAGCTGACAAGCTTAAATGTACTTTTGATTCACAGCCACGTGCTATTGACTTGTTTAACTGTACAAACAGACCACTCTGAAAGAAGCCGTCGTCGGCCCTTTATTTTCTAAAAAGAACCATTTCATCAGTGACATTATCATATTTATCGAGTCAACATCTGCAGCCTTTGTATGCAGATAATACACATGTTTGTGGCAGGGTTTAACTTCAGTGTCATGCTAGCTTCCCGTCAGTGTGGCTTGGTGTACCATCAGTGTGAAAACAGCCCTCTGAGCCATCTGAGGTGCTCGCTGGGGCAAAGCTCGCTGTGAGGAGCGAGCTCGCATCTCTGGCAGGCAGCCAGAAGCAGTCACAGAAAGCTGAAAGCGAGTCAAGCTGACAGGGAACGGCTGAGAGGGGTACAAACGGGGAAACTGATTTCTCTGTGTCTGAAATGATATCACTGCCAACTGAAAGGGAAGCAGCTGGAAGAAAATAACGAACATTAGACTTTTCTTCCAAGTTTAAATGACTTCACCCTGATGTGCTTGACACGCGATGCAAGACACCCGTGTCCTGAGCTTACTAGCTGGCTCATTTAAACTAGCAAGGCTGTGAATGTCACCTCTTTGGCGTTACACTGACACACTGCAGATTTAACTTTCAGGAAAATCTTAACAGACTGTGTATTACCTGTGCTGGCACTGCTGCTGTTGAAGAACCGAAGGGTGTCGTCCATCGCCCTCGGCTGGGACTTAGATGCTCCCTGGAAGCTGGACCTGCTCCCTGTATCCGGGGACACCCCAGGTCGTTCTGCCTGGGGCGGCTCTGCTGAGGCTGGCTTGGCGGGAGACGACTTGCTCCCGCTCCGGGACGACACGGGCTTGGATTCCTCATCACTGTCAAACCCAAACGGGTCATCCAAACCATCCCCGCATGGACGGGGCCTCTTATACACCTCCAGGACTGAGTCATTCTTGGGAGCGCCAGCACGCTTTGAGCCCACCTTGGCCTTGTAGGTGGTGTCACCCCATTTGGTGCTCAGGGTGCCTCTCTTGGTGGAGAGAACTTCGTCAAACTTGGACGTGCCCTCACCACCCTTGCGGCTGTAGGTTTTACCAAATCTAGATGTCATTGTTGCATCTGGGTCATATTCTCTGAAAGAGGAGGACCAAGGAGTAGAAAGAGAGGGCATCTTAGGCGAGACGAACATGTATGTGATTCTCTAAATGTAATTTACAACTTGATCCAGAGCCGCCAAGAGAAATACACAGAATCAATCAACATCTGTAAAATGCAGCTCTGCTTTTTAAATTTTATTTACAGGCAAACTGACAATTAAAAAAACAACAACATATTTTTTGAAAAAGAAAGTCGTTTATTCTTAGGTTAACACAGGGCAGAAGTGCCAGCTAACAGCCGGAGTACTTCTCAGCCAGCTGGTTATACAAAACAAGGCTACCATTAGCTTAGCACCATGCTAACCGTGCTCATTTGCAGCTTTCTGCACAGGTTGGTCGCTAGCATAAATATTAATGAAAACATAACAAATTTTACAAGTGGATATCACGTAGAGCAGACTGGGTATCCATTTAAATGCGCGGTGAGAGCTCTTCTACACCCCTGAAGTTGGTATTCAAGCAAGTCGAGTATCAGCCGTTAGCATAACCAGTAAGCTCAACACAGAGAGCGGAGTTAGCTCGAGGCTAATGGCTAACAATAACTAAAAACTGACATGGCGTTACGTCGAAACTCCAAAAGAAAAACTCAGAGATTATCCTACATTAAAACTGGCGCTGTCTGTTTTCTGGTATTTTCACTTACTTGGTGAGCTAAAGGGCCGATCCGCACAAAACACGCTCCAGCCGCAGGACGGCCGTTAAACGGGCACAGGAGAGCCGGGCCTGCTTCCCCGATTCAAGCAGCCCTGCACAGTATAAACAAGGCCGAGCGGACGCCGTTAGAGGCCGATCGGTGAGTTTGAAACCGAATGTGGCAAACCACAGATCAAGGCTGTTGAGAAAAGAAGCCCTTTAAAGATCCATCTAATGAAATCAGCTCCGCTTTCGAGTTAAATCTCACTCGATTGTCTCCTCCGGGCTGCGACGAAGGCTTCCATTGGACTCCCCCGCGATGTCAAGCTAGCCGCGAAAACACTGTAACCGGAAGTCACGCGGCCGACATTTCAAAGTAAAAGCGTAAAATTGGCGCATGTGAACGTAATTTCCTTTAAAAGTAACTGATCTGAACGCTTTTGTAAAGACGGAGCAATTCGAAAATGTGGATTTAACGGTGAACTATTCGTCTACATATTATTCACTGTGACGCGGATTTATTATTTTGCTAAGTTTCTGTAAAAGCGAAGTTTTTTGTCCAATTTTACATTTTCTACATTAAGCGGGACTGCTTTACGTTACGTTTTAGACTTCACACAAGTGGCTTCATGAATCTTATCGTTTCAAATGCTGCGTTCAGGTAAACTCGCAAAATTCACTATTGTAGACACTAAATGCGACACAAATAATTGTAGAGGCTTTTAAAGTCTGCAAAAAAATCCAAATGAGTTCAAGAATCACCAAGTTAATAATTTAAACCAATCTAGTGAATTGCTAACGTATTGTTAGTAACTTATTGTTAATAATTCACTGAAAATGCAAAACTACTGTACTTATGTTTACTTGGTAGTCACAGTTTAAAAAAGAAAAACCACAGTGATATACACGATGAGCAGTTTACTGAAAAAGCAATCTTCCACTGTTCACCAGGCTGTTCATCAGCTTTTAAATAAAAAGCAACAGAATCAATGCAAAAATACTCAAATTCATTAGTGCACCTTGTTTAGCCGTTCATATAAATAATACACAAACCAGCGTCGAACAAGCAGCAGTGTTCATTGTTGCCTTCTGTAAACAGATCCCTACTGTGATTTATACAGGTCTTATAAATATTTTCAAAGTGTTCATTTAAGGTACAACATTTGGCAAGATTACATTTAAAGTCAAAATCATTTGTTGTGCAACACAAATAGTTCCTCTGTTGTGTGTTTCATGCAACAGCTGTAACCCAAACTGACCCAGTTCTGGATGGAAATATTCAATATCCTCTGCTGTGTCCCGTGGTGCAGTCCCACATGAGAGACCGGTATCGATCAACCAGACTGAGGCCACGGCAGTCTCCACGTTACTTGTTAGAGGCTTGAAACTCGTTAGCTGGAGGAAAACAATGCCACTGTCACACCTGTGCTGGGTGGAGGGGGTAATGTCCTGTCTCTAAATGGAAAAGCTACACTGTGTGACAATTTGTCCACTGTTTCAAAGATGAGCTTCCCCTTATCAATAAAATATAACACACTTTTCTCTTCTCTCTAAATCCATCAAACACGATAGAAAGAATAACATCTCAGAACATGAAGCAGCATCTTTGTGTTTGTATTCTGGACTGTTGAGCGCTACTTTGATTATGTGATATGCCCTGAAAATCAAAAAGATTACATAAGATTAATGATAGCATCAAAAAAGAAACATTAAGATGATGAAACAACTGAACACTAGATGGTAGTTATACTTCATATAATTGTGTCAAAATCCATATTCGTGATGGTGATGAGTGTCTCTTTGAGGAACAGACAGAACGATGACAAATAAAAGAGACTTAAGATATTCGCTGCTTCTGGTCCCCCATTTGGTGCTTTGACGATCAAGGTCACAGCATATGATCACTGAGCTCTATGTGAACTGTATTGTCATCCTGGAAGAGACCCCTCCCATTAGGAAAGGATGCTTTATCAAAGATTAAAAATAATCACTTCAAACAACCTTGCATTAATTTGTAATGAGCATTTCCTCTGTGGTGACCCAAAACATGGGACTATTGGATTTTCAGTTCTACGGTGTTGTTGTCACATAATGCAGAAGCCTCTCTTTTTGCTTTTCCAAAATTAATGAAGTTCACTAGATGTTTGTGGCACAACTTCACCTGCTGGTGCAGGGAGTCGAGCACAGAGTCTGAAGAGTATAAAGTTCCAGCGACGCTGGAAGTGCACTGAACAAATCCTTTACTTACTCGTTTCATCAACACTTTAAACTACGAGTGCTGCTTCTGCTTTAACCTCTTCAAGTTACTGGAACTTCCTTGGAGAATATCAGGGCCATCATCAGTATACAGTTATTGTTGAAAGGTCTCTGCTCCTTTTGAAGGCTGTCACACTTGGTTCTGTGTTGCGTCAGCAGTGTTTCCACAGAGTGGAACCGGCTCACCTGGAAATATAATTTGTGCCCATGCCACCCACACCCATGCTGCCGGGCTACTGTTAATCTTACACCACTGAATAGTAGCGTGTAATTTAACTCAGTGCTTTTAGGCCTCAATCACACAGGCCTAGAGACCCGCTGGCAACCTCTGGTTGCTAGGGAAAAATCTGTATTCTCCGACCATTTGGAGAGTGATGGTAAATGGCCTGTATTTGTATAGCGCTTTACTTAGTCCCTGAGGACCCCAAAGCGCTTTACACTACAATCAGTCATTGACCCATTCACACACACATTCACACTTGTTAAGCAATTACAATCTGTCAAAGTGAAGAAACGTTCCTTAATTAATACCTTTGTATGATTCTTGTTCTAGTTTTCCTTATTTTCTCGTGTTTTCACCTGTACCAGTTTCACCTGGTTGCTCGAGCCTCCTGGCTGTCACCAGGTGAAATTGGTAGCAGACAGTTCTGCAACAGAGCTCTCCGTGTTGTTGCTGCGGTCGCTGGCAGACTGCTGCTGTTAACTAGAGTTTGCATTAAGGACACAAAAACTTCACACTTACTCTGCGAGCTTTAGTAAAACTTTAGTAAAAGTGTGAGAGTTGGCAGAACATTTGGCCTGCTCTATGGAAACTACTGGTTACCGCGGCAACCTGCTATGATCAAACAATTTAGAGGAGATCCTGGTGCAGCTCCATGCACTTCTTTAAAAACACTTTCGTGCCAGCAAAGTTTGTAAGCCACTCGTGGACAACCCACTGACTTTAGGCCTGTGTTACGGGAAACTTATTTAAATACTATTTACTATTTCATTCTACTTACAACCATTATATTCTACACTTAAAGCTTAAGCTAATTCTTATTTTTCAAATTTTAAAATATAGATCAATTAAATTATTGTGCTGTGTTGTGGGGGACAAAGCTTCACAGTCACATAGACGTTGGTAAAATCATCTGCTGCTTAAACGTTTGTACTACTATTACTTTTGCTTAGGTAAAGAGTCATTGTAAAATGTTATTGACTACACTTCTTAGTCACATCTGCACGTCTGCACGAGTCTGTTTTCTGCTCCAGTTCTGGTCACTGAACAATCCTGGAAACACTCCTGGTAGCAAACTACGAAATGTCAACTAAGGTAGCACAGTGTATATTTGCACTTCAGCTTGCCAGCATGTGCAAACTGAAGAGCAGCAGTATTTACACAGTAACAACGCGCCCTGACAAGGCTTTATGAAACCATTTCGGGCTATGAGCACGTTGACGAAGGATGCCAGATTTGTGTAATCGTGACTGTGCCTCCATCTGTCCTGTTTCTAATCTGTGATTAAAGCTGTGCTCTTACATGGTTAAAGCCCAGCTAGCCGTAACTTCACTCCTCCTGATCTGTCAGCTTTCTCACACACACTTTTACAGGCACTATTTTCAGAAGCTGTGGGTTCCTGGTGCAAAGATAGGGGCACAGTTTTTCAGTGAATATGTGTGTGAAAGTGTGAATGTGTGTGTTTGTATCAGCCTCCAAAAAAGACAGCTTCCCTTCGTCCCAGTCCAGATGAACTCTGACCTTCTTGACCTTCTCTGTGATGGAGAGAGCGATGTATTTGTTGGTTGGGGAGAACGCTCTGTATCCGGCATGGCTGCATTCTACGCTCCACACGGTGGAGCCCACAAATTCTCTCCTGCACATAGACTCTGCTATCACCCCAACCTCCCAGTCCTTGTTGTCTCCAACCTCCACGTCCCAGCTGTGAGTTCCCGAGTTGAAGCCCTCAGAGCCCAGGACAGAATCCCAGAATTCAAACCTCTCCGGGTTTTCTGGAAGGAGCCTTCTCTTTCCGTGCCTCACGCCAGTCAGATCTTCAGACAGAATGAGCTCTGGATTGGCTGAATTTGGATCCAGAATCACAGGACTGTAGGAGACCATGTCTGTCATCTTATTCCAGATGTTGAAGGTCAGGTTGCCCAGGTGTTTGGCCACATCTATCAATGCTCCTGAGCCCAGCTGTGGATCATCCAGCTGGGGGTGCTGCTGGACTCTTTCCACCACAGCCTTGTAGGTCCTCAGGAAGGATGGATCTCCAGCTCTGAGGTGCTCCTCTGTGGCTCTGACTGTGTCTGAAAGATTCGCCATCTCCCTACACAGAGCCTCCATCTTTTCCTTCATCACTTGGCTCTTCTGCGCCTCTTCCTCCCGCAGAGCTAACATCCGTTCCTCCTCTTCCTCCTCTAGGAACTGGTGAAGCTTCTTAAACTGCTCCTTAAGCCTCCTTTCTATCTGCAGAGCCTGCACTTTAATGTGCTCCGCTGTTTGATGTAAGTTCACTTTAACTTCATTAAAAAGCTTCAGCTTGTGCTGCAGAGGGTTCAGGAATGTGTGAAGCTCCTCTCTGTGTTCCTGTGCAACTTCATCAATGGGCCTGAACTGATGGTCGGCGTGGATTTTTGCATCCCGACAGATGATACACGCGGGCTGCTCATGGTCCAGACAGAAGAGTTTGAGCTTTTCAGAGTGCAGACTGCAGAGACTGTCAGACCCCGATGAAGCTCTCTGACTCTGCAAAAATCCCTCACAGAGGTTCTTCAGTGCCCGGTTACAAGGTGGATCACTCCACTCGCACACTGTCCGACAAACCAGGCACTCTTTGATTTGCTTCTCTTTCCACCAGCTCTGCAGACAGGCTTTACAGAAGCTGTGGCTACACAAGAGGAGGACGGGATCTTTAAAAATGTCATGACAGGCAGGGCAGCATAAATCCTCCTCTGAACGGAAAGCCATTTTCCCCTCAGCGACAAAGACACCTGGCAGAGACGGACAGCAGGGAGGAGGCAGTGCCAAAACCTTCCCAACAAGTCTTCGGCAAAATCTTTCCTTCAAGTGGTCTTAATTTGTAAGATCCCAGTGCTCCCGGTATTCTTGCTGCTGCTCAGCGCGTCAGTGTAAAGGTGACGCTTTCCTTCCCTTTACTGTCAAGAAGTCGTGTTTCCTGATAGTCGTGTTTGTCAGGTGAGCCAGAGTGGGTGGAGCTCTGTCAAATAACTGTAACACTCCAGAGACTTCTCTTACACCGCTCTCTGGAAACTGCAGGTGCTTGCACCTTCCACATGCTCTTAGCTTTCAGTCATGCACAGACACCAGTGGCATGTGTGAGCATGCTGTAGATCTGTTAAATGAGGACATCAGATCTACAGCATCTCTTGGATGAGAGAGCGGACTGATAAGTTCAGCTTCTTCCATAAACACAGATGTCTGCTAATCAGTGCAAAGTAACGGAGTAATAAATAAGAAAAGTGCACTCTCTAAAACTGGAAGCTTCTGTACGCCACAGAATTCCTTTAAAGAAATACTCCAAGCGGCACAAGCACATTGGAGAGGTCCAAGCTGTGTCAGAACACCTGTCAGTCAAAGAGACCACGCACTTAACTCCAGTATCCAGGCGAAGCTGCAGAAAGAAACTATTCAGGCTTTAAATATGCTTGTTTCAGCTGTAAATCTCCAAAGGTTGAACAGAATCAACCTTTTGGGATCTACTTACCTGGACGGTTGAGAATGCATCAAGACGTTTTAGCTGTAAAGTTTTCATCTCAATAAGTGTAAGAAAACTCCTTTTTGGTTAGTTTGCCACAAAAATCTCCTTTATTGAACTTAAATACACAATGACTTCCTATTTTTCTCCCTGGTTGTCTTTGCCTCACCTGCTGCATGTCGGTGGGGCTCAGCACACAGTTTGAGGAGCTTTGTTCCACATATTTATTTTGTCCATCTCACAGCGCACCCCCTGGTGTCATTTCACTAAACTGCAGTACAGTGGCATTTCTAAGAAGCGAGCATGCTGTCTGCAGACACGCTCTGCTGCTCTGGTGTCTGACATGGTTTGTTTTGCTTGAAAAAAGTCAAATTATGGGAGCTGAAGATGCTTCCCTTTGGTTGCTGCATGTGCAGAAACACGTGGGAGATGTTAAAGTGGAAAGTGTTTCAGCTTGAACACAAAGCTTGCAGGTATGCTGACTCAACTTCACTTTAAAAGGAGGAAGGTGTGGAGGAGGCAAAAAACTGGGCTATCCGGTATGTTCCTAACTAACGCTAAGCCAGTCCTGCCTCACACACACCCAGCAGGCTACATGTTACATGCTACTGCATTACACCATAGATGTATTACCATAAAGCAAACAAGAATTTTCAAGAAACAAAATTTTTCCACGAAGTTGAAGTCGTGCCTCCATTATGTGTCACTGAATGTGATCTGTGCTGCTTCTCCTCATATTCTGTGTACACCTCTGATGGTGGATGTCTGTATTAAATATGGCCAAAGATTCAAATCATAATGTCCATAACATGGATGTGGCCCAGATTAAGATGCAGAACGATTATTTTTGAGCACCAAATGAGAATTTTGCGTTTGAATGCTTTGTGAAAAACTAGTTTTTGAAGAGAGATGGGGGGGCAACATCAGAGATGGATGGATGTCCCAGTACTTGTTGACATGCACCCCGCTGTGGCTGTCTGTTTCTCCGGGCCATCAGGTCATGTTGGCAGCGACCCTGAAAAATCTTTCCAACAGTTACTGAGGAGCACTAAGCCTGGATGAAGTCCCTGAGTGGCATGCTGTGGCCCCTGTGCCAGCATCAGCCTTCCTGCCAGCCTTCAGACCAAAAGTTACTGTACCGGGAGGAGGTGGGGGTTTGATATTCTGACAATAAACAGATTTCAGATCTTCGCGCTGTTGCCAAACGCTCCCTGAGCAGGAGCTGGTTGTTGAGAACCTGGCAGAGCTTTGCAGTGACACCTGGAGAGTTCAGGCTTCACACAGCTCTGAAGAATAAGCTGGCACAGCAGCTGGCAGCAGCACTGGCAGTGGCTTCTTTAAAAACAATTAGGCCTTTGACATTCGGCAGACAGACAAAGAGAAAGATGAGTGCAGCCAAATGACTTACCACCCAATCAACTCACTTTCTTAAAGAGATTAAAATAGAGGATTCTGGGCAATACAGTCAGTCTGCTAACAGCCGACAGAACAAACATCTAAGGGCTGAAACTGACATATAATAAATCATTGTCTGCATACAAAGAAACTTTTAGTTACAGAATAACCATTTGTCAAAAAAAACCCAAAACACTAAACTAACAAAGACAGCTTGGTCACGAAGCAAAACATCACACTCACAGGCAGCCCGTTTGTTTTATTACAATAGCTTTTATGTGAAGAAAATGAGGTACAGCATGAACAGGAAGTGGGAGGTGTTCAGTGTCCACATGTCAAGTATTTCACAAACTGCTTTGTTACACTGGAGTAAAATCAGGGGCTGGATCATAGTGTTAGTGACTGCTTTTACCAAAGGAAGCAAAACTATCTGAATAAATGAATCTCTGCTCCTGGCTTTTGTGATGTGAACCATCTATCCCATCCATCCATCTTCATCCGCTTATCCGAGGTCGGGTCGCGGGGGTAGCAGCCTAAGCAAAGAGGTCCAGACCTCCCTCTCCCCAGCCACCTCCTCCAGCTTGTCCGGGGGAATACCAAGGCGTTCCCAGGCCAGCCGAGAGATATAATCTCT